TTCATGAGACTCCCTCGGAGGGAAAAGCAAGAGGGTGAAGGTGCTAGCACCTGGGGATGAAGTGGCCCGAAGAGGGTAGGAGGCTGGACTGCTGGGACCACAGCAACTACAGGGCCTCAGGAGTTGTGACTCACACTAGCAGCTAACAGAGCCCTCTCCTTCAGCCTGTTCCTTGGGGAAGGGGAAATAGAGTCAAAAAAGGAGTAACTAGGCTCAGCTGCTCACACCTGTAATCCCAGCACTTTGGGAGGCTGAAGCAGGAGGATCACTTAAGGCCAGGAGTTTGAGACCAGCCTGGGCAACATAGTGAGACCCTCATCTCCACAAAAAAAAAAAAAAATTAATTAGCAGGGCATGGTGGTGCACACCTGTGGTTCCAGCTACTCAGGAGACTGAGGCAGGAAGATTGCTTGAGCCCAGGAAGTTGAGGCTGCACTTAGCTGTGATGGTGCTACTGCACTCCAGTCTGGGCAACAGAGTGAGACCCTGTCTCTAAAAACACAAAATAAAATAAAACATGAAGAAGAGGAGGGTCTCTGGTCTGAGTCCACTTCACATGAGGGTAGGGTTCTGGGTTCTTCCTCCTAACTTCTCTCAGGTCTCTACCTGGCTTCCATGCGTAAAATGGGAACAGAGCATTGCCCAGCCTCAGCAAGTCACCTCGTGGTTCAGCCGCATTCCATGGGGCTGGAATAAGATGAGTGCAAGCAGCTCAGCCCTTCTTGCCCACCCAAGGCCCCTCGTTGCTGCCCACCCAGGTTCTGTGGACGTGCACCCACTAATTGCATGCACCCCTGCAGTGCCAGACCCCTCTGCCAGGGCCCCTGGGGAAAGGGGAATCTCCCCACCTAGTCTCCTACACACTCCAGCCCCTCTGAATGGCAGAAAAGATTGGGGTGGGGTGGGAAATCGCCTGAAGGAGGCACACACTGACAGACACGGCTTGGGGCCCCTTCGGGGTCCTGCCCTCTCACCACTAGGGAGAGGTGGGGGCCTTTCCGCCCAGGGGCAGGACTTTCTCGCAGTCACAGGGGCTGGCTGCTGGGAAGCGTCCAGGCCCATGATCCACGCCCTTCTCTTCCCTGCCCTGCAGAGCCCTGCCAGCGCCCAGAACCCAGCTCAGCCGCTGGCCTCCCGATGCCTGTCCCCCTCCAGGCGCGCTGAGGTGCTCAGAGTGCTGCCTCCCCTCCCGCCACCAGCTCCAGTCCCTAAGACTGTCTTGACATGCGCAGGTTCCTCCTAGGGTCCAGAGGGGACTCTCCACTGTTCCATGCCCTGGCTGAGCAGGAACCGGCCTCCGGGGCAGGCAAGGCCTCTCCTCACCGGCAACTCAACCCTTCACATCCAGCCCAACACCCGGTGGACTCGGGACCGCTGACCGCCAGTCATTCCGCAGCCTCTGCTTGTTTCAGCCTGCCCTGCCTTTGGGCTAAGGCTCCCCCAGCTGGCCACCTGCAGCATGGCACCTTTCGAGTCAAAATGTTTCTCTGGCGCAGCCCTGCCATCAATCAATAAACAAATCCTACTGAGGGCTCACAGCGTCCCAGGCTTCGGGATACAAAAGTGAATACGCCTGGTTCAATACTCACCCTGTCAGATATCACGGTCTATGAGACTTTTGCCTGATGTTACTGTCTCAGAGGAGCACAGCTTGTCCAAGGTCTGGTTGGGGGAAAAAAATCGTAATAACCTTGTTTTGAGAAAAATTTAAGATGTGAAGGGGTGTCATTTGTATAGAATAATGAAAGGTGACAATATGTGGTATATATCGTCTCATTTCGCTCTAGAATCACTGTATAATTAGAGCTGAAACACTCAAACTTATCTTTGAAATGTACTGTGCCACAGTGGTTAAGCTAGCACCGAGACCAACTGCCTAAGTTCAAATCCCAGAGCTATCACATGACAGCTGTGTGACTTTGTGCAAAATGCATACTGTCTCTGTGCCTCAGTTTCTCCATAGCCAAAATATAGATAATGATAGTACTTATCTGACATAGTTTTGCTATGTCCCCACCCAAATCTCATCTTGAATTGTAGATCTCATAATCCCCACATGTCATGGGAGAGACCCAGTGGGAGGTAATTGAATCATGGCAGCAGTTACCCCCATGCTGCTCTTGTGATAGTGAGTGAGTTCTCACATGATCTGATGGTTTTATAAGGGGCTTTTCCCCCTTTTGCTTGGCACTTCTTCCTGCCACCATGTGAAGAAGGATGTGTTTGTTTCTCCTCTGCCATGACTGTAAGTTTCCTGAGGTCTCCCCAGCCCTGCAGAACTGTGAATCAATTAAACCTCTTTCCTTATAAATTACCCAGTCTTAAGTATGCCTTTATTAGCACTGTGAGAATGGATTAATACAGTTAATTGGTACCAGGTAGTGGGGCACTGCTGTAAAGATACCCAAAAATGAGGAAGTGACTTTGGAACTGAATATCAAGCAGAGGTTGGAACAGTTTGGAGGACTCAGAAGAAGACAGGAAAATGTGAGAAAGTTTGGAACTTCCTGGAGACTGGTTGAATGGCTTTGACCAAAATACTGATAGTGATATGGACAACAAAGTCCAGGCTGAGGTGGTCTCAGATGGAGATGAGGAACCTAATTCTCTATGCAAAAGTAACTCTTGTTATGCTTTAGCACAGAGACTAGTGGCATTTTGGCTCCTGCCCTAGAGATCTGCAGAACTTTGAACTTGAGAGAAATGATTCAGGGTATCTTGCAGAAGAAATTTCTAAGCAGCAAAGCATTCAAGATTTGACTTGGGTCCTTTTAAAAGCATACAGTTTCATTCATTCACAAAGATATGGTTTAGATTGGAATTTCTTTTTAAAAGGGAAGCAGAGCATAAAAATTCAGAAAATTTGCAGGCTGGTGATGTGCTAGAAAAGAAAAACCCATTTTCTGAGGAGAAATTCAAGCCAGCTGCAGAAATTTGTATAAGTCATGAGGAGCCAAATGTTAATTGCCAAGACAATGGGAAAATGTCTCCAGGGCATGTCAAAGGTCTTCACAGCAGCCCCTCCCATCACAGGCAGAGAGGCCTAGGAGAATAAATGGCTTCAGGGGGTGGGCCCAAGGCCTTGCTGCTTTGTGCAGTCTTGGGACTTGGTGCTTTGCATCCCAGATGTGGCCAGAAGAGCTTACACGTGGTGATGGGCCTGTGGGTACACAGAAATCAAGAATTGAGGTTTGGGAACCTCCGCCTAAATTTCAAATAATGTATGGAAATGCCTGGATGTTCAGGCAGGGGTGTGCTGCAAGGGCAGGGACCTCATGGAGAATCTCTGCTAGGGCAGTGTGGAAGGGAAATGTAAGTTGGGAGCCCCCAGAGTCCACACTGGGTCACTGCCTAGTGGAGTTGTAAGAAAAGGGCCACCATCCTCAGACCCCAGAATGGTAGACAGGCAACAGCTTGTGTCATGTGCAGCCACAGGGACTCAATGCCAGCCTGTGAAAGCAGCCAGGAGTGGGGGCTCTACCCTGCAAAGCCACAAGGGCAGGGCTGCCCAAGACCATGGAAACCCACCTCTTGCATCAGTATGACCTGGATGTGAGACATGAAGTCAAAAGAGATCATTTTGGAACTTTAAGGTTTAATGACTGCTCTATTGGATTTCAGACTTGCATGGGGCTTGTAGCCCCTTTATTTTGGCCAATTTCTCCCATTTGAGATGGGTGTATTTACCCAATGTCTGTATGCCCATTGTATCTAGAAAGTGACTAACTTACTTTTATTTTACAGGCTCATAGGCAGAAGGGACTTGTCTTGTCTCAGGTAAGACTTTAGACTTGGAGAAATTGGCCAAAATAAAGGGGCTACAAGCCCCACGCAAGTCCAAAATCCAATAGGAGCAGTCATTAAACCTCTTTCCTTTATAAATTGCCCAACCTGGGTATGTCTTTATCAGCAGCGTGAGAATGAACTAATACACTATCTCGTGGTTATTGAAAGCAAGCTAACACTTGCTTAAAACACATAAGGGCTCAACATAGTTATCTATTATTGCTATTGCCTAATCCAAAATCCTAGTTGTATGAGTAGGACCCAGTAAGGTTAAAGGACTTCTGTGGTCACACAAAGTTCTTGACTCTTAACCAAGTATGTCACTGATTCTCTTAGGAACTGAAAAATTTATTTAAAGGAACTTAGTTAATTTACCCATGTACTGCCCTAACCCATTGTTTAAATTCTCCTACGTCATCCCCACTTGCTGATCCCCAAGCCTGGGTGACTACTCCACTTTTTGACCACTCAGATGATTAGAAATTTCTTGAACTACTGCTCCAGCCCATTTATTAGGTTTATCAGAAGGCCACTGTCAGCTTTTTAGAGAATCTCCCAAAACAAGAGAGTCCTGCAGCAGGTTCAGACTGCTGTATGAGCAGCCTGGCACTTGATCATATGACCCAGCAGATCCCATGGGTGCTAAAGGTATCCATGACAGATAAGGGTGGGCACCTGTGAAATGACTGACAAGCCCTCATAAGTGAATTACACCACAGACCTCTAGGGTTCCATAGTTAGGTTATGCCATATGCAGCAGAGAACTATTTACCATAGGCAAAGTAGCTCCCAGGGTGCTACTGGGCCCTAGCAGACACTGAGTTTCTGACCATGGGACATAAGGGTGACTGTGTGATCACAACTGTCCATCATGAGCTGAATCATATCAGAGCCACTAAGTCATAGCATAAGGCAGACACTCCTAGTAACCAACCTGGTGAGTTTGGCTTTTCTGTCCCCACAATTTTAGTTCCCACTTAATTAAAGGTCCTCATTTTCAGGCACAGAGTGGGGGATTTGCTTTCACCAGGGACAGGGATACAATAAGGGTTTCACTAAATAATAAAGTTATGGCTGCCAACTGTCATGTCAAGCTTCTCTTAACAGTAGATCTCTAGGCAACAGTGAAGTTACCAAATTCCCCTGATTATCATGAAGAGATCAAGTTGTTGCCATACAACAAGGCAATCGTGGCCCAGGAAGCAGTACAAGACACTTCTTGATGCTTCTACTCGGTGATAACTATAACACACAATTGCAGCAATCCTACCTTAACAATGGCATGGAACCTTACAGATAAAGTTCTGAGTTACCTTGTCGAATAAACAACCTAAACCAATAGAAATGCTTGCCAAGGAGTTGGGGTGGGGAATGCAGAAAAGGTGCTAAAGGAAGATAATGATTGCTAACAATGACCTCAGGACTGACTGTAAAAGTATGGACTGTAGCTTGTCCATATAAAGATATTTTTTAAGATGTTATTAATATTTGTATGACATTTTCATTTTTAAATTTGTTATTGATATATAAGTGTACATATTTATGGAGTACATACATAGTGGTGTTTTGATACATATACTGTATAGTGATTAGGTCAGGGTAATTAGCATATCCATCATCTAAAACATCACTTCTTCACGTTGGGACATTCAATATTCTCCTTCTAGGTATTTGAAACTATATAAATATATTATTGTTTAGTCATCCCATAGTGCTATAGAATCCTAGAACTTATTCTTCCTATCTAGCTCTAATTTTGTATTCTTTAATAAATGTCCTCCTATCCCCACCCCCTTCTCTAGTATCTAGTATCCTCTTGTTCTACTTCTTTCTTCCATGAGATCAACTTTTCTTTAGCTTCCCATATGAGTGAGAACATATGGTGTTTAACTGTCTGTTCCTGGCTTATTTCACTTAACATAATGTCCTCTAATTCCATCCATGTCTTTTCCTTTTGTATACGGTTTCCTTTGTGGTACGGAAGCTTTTTAGTTTGATATAATCCCACTTGTTTATTTTGCTTTTGTTGCCTGTGCTTTTGAGGTCTTATTCACAAAATCTTTTCCCAGACCAATGTCCTGAAGTGTTACCCCTATGTTTTCTACTAGTAGTTTTGCAGTTTTATGTCTTATATTTAGATATTTGATCCACTGTGAGTTGATTTTTATATAGGGTGAGAGACAGGAGTCTAGTTTCATTCTTCTGCATATGGATATCAAGTTTTTCCAGCACCATTTATTGAAGAGGCTGTCCTTTCACTAATGAGTGTTCTTGGTGCCTTTGCCATAAATTAGTTGGCTATAGTTATGTAGATTAATTTCTGGGTTCTCATTTCTGTTCCATCAGTCTACATGTCTGTTTTTTATGCCAGTACCATGCTATTTTGGTTGTTTCAACTTTGCGGTATATTTTGAAGTCTAGTAGTGTGATGCCTTCACCTTTGTGCTTTTTGTTCACATTACTTTTGCTATTTGAGGTCTTTTGTGGTTCCATAAAAATTTTAGGATTTTTTTCTATTTCTGTGAAAAATATCACTGGTATTTTTATAGGGATTGCATTGAATCTGTGTGATTAACACTTAAATCAGTAGACTTTAAGTAAAGCAAATTACTTACCCTCCATAATTTAGGTGGGCCATATCCAATTAGTTGAAGACCTGAAAAGCAAAGACTGAGGTTCCCCAAAGGAAAAAGAATTCTCCTCAAGACTGCAACATAGAAATGCTGCCTGGGTTTCCAGCCTGCTGCCCTGAGGAATCCAGACTCAAGACTGCAGCATCAACTCTTAAATTCTTATCTGAATGTCCAGCCTGCTGGCTTGTCCTACGATTTCAGACTTGCTAGCTTCCACAATAAAAGCCAGTTTTTAAATCTCTCTCCTCTCTCTTCTCTCCTCTCTCCTCCCTCTCTCTCTCTCTCTCTCTCTCAATTACAAATAATATCTATCCTACTGGGTCAGTTTCTCTCAAGAACCCTAAGTAATACATTTCCCTTTATAAGACCTCTTATTATAAATTGAAATGGCTACCCCCTTGAACAATCAGTGACAAGATGAAACGAACTCAATGTGAGGTATGGGATCAGATCATTTCAAAAGGTAGAGAGTAACTGATAATGTTGGTGTCCTGTCAATGTATCATTAATGCTCACCAAAGTGAGTATCTACAGAAGCCTTCTTATGCCAAACACCCACAACTCTCCCCAAAAGCTTTCTCAGGCCACAGGAGCATGCTCAGCCAGAGTACACAGCAGACAAGAAATGTCAGGGAGTTAATGTCCCTAAAGTTGTCTTAACCCATTATGGATGAGAATTGCTGGATAAATAACCCAGTTTCGTTATTTCATTAATGTCCCTTCTGGTGGAACAGTGCTAAGACATGTCCCACATCATCTTCCAAAAGTCCTGGATGAGATAAAGCCCCAGGTGCCACAGAGGTAATTTGTTCCTTAATATATCCCATATTTTATTTCCTTCTTTCCTTCTCTGTTTCACTTCTTCACTCACCCATCAGTGCTTCCAGGAATCACATCACAAATAAACTACTTGCACTCAAATCTTTGTATCAGGGTCTGTTTCACTTGCACCCCAGACATTTATATAAATGTTTTAAAGGCAAAAAAAGAGATAATTCCAGACACCAAGAGTTATTTAAAACTACTACAATCAGTAAAATATGGTGTGAATGCAAATATAATCAACTAAAGCAATAGAACAGAATAGAGATCAGAAACGAACACCTTTATCCATAAACACTTGGTTTATGGCAAAGGAGGAACTGCAGAGAAGTGGGATGGATGGTCATTTCAATCAATATTGCTGGGTCAAGTGAATATCTAGAAGGAAAAATGAAATTTGACCCCGATCTCAGAGACACACAAAAATTAATTCCAAGTGATCTACATGGGAAAGGTAAAACAACAAAACTTTGAGATGATACAATAGAAAAATATCTTTATTACTTTGGAGTTTAGATAGGTTTCTTCAAGGCACATAAAGAAAGCACTAACTTTAAAGCAAGCTTTTCAACCTCATACTATTGACATTTCAAACTAGATACAATTCTGTGGTGGGGAGCTGCTCTGTGCATTGTAGGATGCTCAGCAGCATCCCTGACCTCTACCCACGAAATGCCAACAGATTTCCCACCATCACTCCCCAGTTATGACAACCAAACTTCCTCCAGTACATTCTCTAATGTCCCCTGGGAGTATGGTTACCAGATTTAGGAGGAAGAAAACAGGATGCCAAGTTCAATTAGAATCTCAGATAAACAAGGAAAAAAACAGATAAGATAGATAGATAGATAGACAGATAGACAGATAGATAGATAGATACTCAATATGTCCCAAATATTGCCTGAAAAATACTCACCCCATCATTAAGAATCACTGCCTTAAAGGAAAAACTATTTTAAATATGGGACTATGAGAAGGACTTTTGCTCATGAAAAGTCACCTATCTTTAAGAGAGTGAAAAAGGCAAATCATAGAACTGGAGAAGATCCTGCATCATACGTATCAACAAAGGGTTCACATGCAGAACTTGCAAGTTGTGCCTATCAATCAATAAGAAAAATACCAGACAACTCAATGAAACACAGATAAGAGACTTGAACAGAAAGTTAACAAAAGATAACCAATTAACCTATAAATATATGAAAGGTACTAACCTCATTAGTAACTAGAAAAATAGAAATTAAAACCACAGAACAATAGCAACATGCACTCATTAGAATAGCTAAAATTAGAAAGAATAATATCAACTATTGACAAGGAGAGCAACAGGAACTATCCTTCACTATTAGAGGAAGTGCCAGTTAACGGCTCTATCACTTGTTCACTTTCTCAATATCAGCTGAGAAACTGAAAATACACATATCCCATGACATTAATTATATGCCTAAGAATACACTCCAACAAAATCTCTACATCATAAAACATGAACAAGAATGTTCTTTACAACATGATATATGAAAAAAACCAAAAGTCCTTCCACAGTAGAATGAATGAATAAAATTATGGTACAGTCATACAATTGGATACTCTCCAGAAATAAAAATTAACTGCTAGTACAATGACATTGATGAATTTCACAAGCATAATGTTAAGGAAACCAAAAGCCAAACTTAAAAGGAGACCTATTGTGTCAGTACACTTATATAAAGAGCAGAAACAAACAAAACTAATCTTTGGTGCTAAAAGTCAAGATGGCAGTCACATTTGGTGAGGGTTGAGATAGTAAGAATTAGGAAGAGGCACATGGTTGTGGGTGGAGGAGCTCTGAAGTGTTGGTGATGTCTTATTTCCTGACTAGAGTGATGGTTACAGGGATGTGTTCACTTTGTGATTGCTCACTGAGTTATATTAGTATAGCATCATGCCACAATTTGGTTTAAAGTTTGGTTTGGCTAGGCATGGTAGTTCATGCCTGTAGTCGTAGCACTTTGCCGGGTCAAAAAGAATAGATCACTTGAGACCAGGTGTTCGAGACCAGCCTGGGCAACATGGCAAAGCCACATCTCTACAAAAAAAAAAAAAAAATACAAAAATTAGCCAGGCATGCTGGCACGCACCTGTAGTCCCAGGTACTCAGGAGGCTGAGGCAGAAGGGTCAATTGAGCCCAAGAGGTCAAGACTGCAGTGAGCTGTGATCTCACCACCACCCTCCAGCCTAGGCGACAGAGATCCTACCTCAAAAAAAAAAAAGTTTGGTATACTGGGGGTTTTTTTGGTTGTTGGTTTTCAGTCCCTGTGAGAATTTTTGGTTTCCTAATTTATAATTAACACTTTTCGGTGACCTCATTTTTTCCTCTCCCAGTCAATTTTACCATATTTTAAGAGGCATATTTTTACCCGTAACAGCCTCTTTAATTATGCTATTAATCATCAAGGAAAAAAATGTTAACTGCACAAAAATACTGATCCAGAAACTGTTATTCTTGAACTTCCACTGTGTCTGTAATTTACAGTGCTCTTATGGGTTATTGCCTTTTCATATTCTTTCAATTTTTCATTAACTTATTTTCCTATTTTATCTCCTATCTCCCTTCTCCCATAAGGATATTGAATTTAATTGGGCATAAACATTATTACTAAAATAATTATAGCTAACACCTGGTCTGGTTTATATCCCAGCCTATTTTCATATCCCCAAATCTTAAAAACATCACCTTTAATTTCCATCATAATAAGGTATTTTCCACCATTTGTTTCATCAAGTAGTACTGTTTGTATTCAATTAACAGCTTCTATAGTCTCATTTTTTACTCAGTGTTTTGGAGAGGTCAGGTGATCTACAATAAAGAGCACCTCTACTTCCTGTTCACCAGGTGTGAAAAAGAAGAAGAAAAAAAAAGATACAAATATATTAACAGAAAAAAAAGAGTGCCTCCACTTTTTTACACTCATGTTTCAGTGCTTTAGCCATTCAATCTTGAAAAATAAAAGTATGCTTTGTTTACCACCTCACTCACTCAGTGGTTCCCAAAAAAGGATGCCAAATTTAGTCTAGTAAGCCAAGAAATAGATAAGTTTAATTCATCTGGCCATCTGCCTTCTCAAGCAACCTCCAAGAGTATATTGTGTCATAAAATCAGTGAATGTTTTATTATATGTGTGTGATATTCAGATTCACACAAAAATGTAATTTCCTCCCACAGACATTTTATAAATTTTTGTTTTAAAATTACTTATATCTTCCTCACACACAGAACCACTTTAACCTCATCTGCTTGTCCATATATCTTTCTTTCACTCTGGAATTATGTTCCAATCATCTTCTTCCCATTAAACCCCTGCTGATCAGATATGCCACTATGGGTTCCAAATCTCTCGTTTAGTAATCCGTGAGCCAGTAATGAAATAGGACCATTTCTCGCACTTGGCTGTGTGTGGCTTTTCCTGCCTGTTATCTATTTGCTACACTGTTGACTGGTCTCTTGACAGTTGAACTTGAGTACCCTATTACTGTTGCTGCACTGCAAACTGCTCCATAATTTAGTGTCATAAAACAACCATAGTATTATTCTCATGGATTGCCTGGTTCAGAAATTTCAGAGTACAGCAGAGACACCAGGTCTATGCTCCATGAAATCCGGTGCTTTATGTGGGAATACTTGAAGGCGGGGGTGACTCAAAAGAGACTGGAGGCATCTAGAGGCATCTTCATTCACACATCTGGCAGTTGTTGCTGCCTGTTGGCAAGGACCTCAGCTGGGCTGTCAGCAGGAACACCCATATGGCCTCTCTATGTAGTCTGTCTACATGGGCTAGTTTGGACTTTCTCATAACATGATGGGTGGTTCTAAAAGGGAACATCTCAAGAAAATAAGGTCAAAGTGTGTCGCATTTTTATGTCCTAGTCTTAGAAGTTACGTCACTCGAGGCAGTCATAAACACCCGTCTGGACTCGAAGGGAAAGTACACGCACTCTACCTCTAGTTTCCAGAATAGCATGTGAAACTGAGATATTGTTGCAACCATCTTTGAAGAATACAATCTGCCACATAAAGCTTCCACCAATCCCATCCATATGTTCTGCATCCTCTCACTTCTCCCAGATTTCCAAAATTCTCTGTTCTTATATTTCTAACATTCCAGCTAATAATTTTAGATGATGATGATGATGATGATGATTGACATCTATCAAATCTATGTGCTGAGGACTGATCTGAAATTTAAATGTATTAACTTAATCTTCACAGCAATTCTGTAAGGCAGGTACTTGTTATCTTCAATTACTATAAGGAAACTAAGATACAGAGAGGTTTAAAAACTTGCCCAAAGGCACACAGTTGTTAAAGAGAAGATCTGGAATTTGAACTTGCGGAATCTTTTTCTGGGATCTGCACTCTCAACCACCATTCTTTCATTTACTCAATAAATACTAATTGGGCATCTACAAAATGAAGGTACTCTCCAAAATTCAGGGGTGAAGAATGAACAAAGTAGATAAAACCCCTGCTCTTGTGGAGTTTGCATTCTAGTGAGAGGAGACAGGTGACAAACAAATAAACAAGAAAATACACAATGCTTCAGATGATAAGTGGTATGAAACATAAGAGAGGATAAAGGCAAAAGGAAGTTTCAAAGATGAGGAAGAAAGCTTATTTTAAATGTTCTAGTCAACTAATAAGACATTTGATTAGAGACCTGAAGGAAGTGAGGTCTGGCAGAGCCATGTGGCTATTTGGAGGCATGGCATTTCAAGCAGGGGAATAGGAAAAACGCCCTTGGGCAGAAGCAAGTTTGTCACACTATACTGAAAAGCCAGTGTGACTTGGGCAGGACAGGTAGGAGGTGAGGTCATACAGACGGGTGAGGACCAAATCACTGGGGGTCTTGGGGACTCCCTGAGATCTTGTAAGATGTTTGGCTTTTACTCTGAAACCAGAATCCATTGGAAGACTTCCATTGGAAGAGGAGTGGCATGACTGATTTTTATTGAGTTTACTCCATCTACCAAGTGAAGAATAAATTGTAAGAGGGCAAGAGTTAGAGCAGAAAAATCAGTAAGGAGCCCCTTATGATGATCCAGACAAAGATGGCATTAACTTGAACCAGGTAGTAACTGTGGTGGACATGGTGAGATACCTAATTATGGGTTTATTGCATGTATGGATTTCTTTTAGAGATAAATCCAACCATTCCTGCTCGTGGATCAGGGGGAGTTAATGATGTCTTCAAGTTTTTTTATTTTGACCTGAGCAAATGGAAAAATTACACTGCCATTTGCTGAGACTGGGAGCACCATTGAAGAAACAAGTTTGGGGCCATGGAAATCAAGAGTATGGTTTGGGGTGTGTTAAGTTTAGATGGCTATCAGTCATCCACATACAGATGTTGAGTAGGTAGTTTGATATTTAAGCCTAGAATTCAGGGAAAATGTTCAGGCTGGTATCAAAAATTTGGATTCATTAGATACTATTCAAAAACCTGAAATTCATACTAAGGAGTGAGCCTACATGGAGAAGAGGCCCAAAGACAAAGATGGCAGTGTGCCAATGCTTAGAGATCGGGTGACACTCAAAGCCAGCCAAGGGGACTAAGCAGTGACTCATAAGGTAAGAGGAGGGCAAAGCATGTCCTGGAAACCAGTGAAGAAAGTGTTTTCTGTTAAAAATGTTGCAGAGAGGCAGAGTATGTGGTGATCTGAGATCAATGAATTTAGCAACGTAGCAGTCACTGACGAGAGCTCTTTCAACAGAATGGAGGAGAGGCAATATGCCACACTACCTCTGTAGATGGAATTTAGCTTCTCTTCAGAGATTTTATTTCCTCTCAAAGTTCTTCAATCTCAACAAAATGAACTCCCCATGCTGTGTAACAGCATTTTGTCTAGGAATCAATACTCTGGCCTTTGCCTGTATGTGGAGTGCTGTGAGCAGTCCATAAAAGGTTCTGGTTGTAACCTTCCCCACAATCCACACCAGGCATCCTGAACCTCTCTACTCCACCTTTAAACCACTAGTTACCTCCTCAGCTTCAGTGCCCCAGGGATCCTGCCTAGATCTAAGCTGGATACTGAGCCCAGGGTGGCTCTTAATTATTTAGAGTTAAGTTTTGGGGACACCCTCTCCACTCCTCCTCTGTTGTCATGGTCACCCCCTTCTCTTCTCCATAATCTCCTTCTCTAGCTAATCAAGTCTTCAATGAGATCCCTCAGTGATATAGTGACTTTCTCTCTAAACTCAGCAAAAATCCCATGTTGGTTGTGGTCCAGCCTCCTATAGCTGGGTCTGGCCTATGTTGATCCATGGAGGAGAAGATGGACTAGCCTACATCTCCCTCCCTAAGATCCCCTCAGGTTGCCAACTGATTAATGGTATAACAAAATGGGAGCTGAGTGGGCAGAATATGCATGAGGGCAAAGATAGAGCCAGCTCTGGTGATCATTGCCTCAACCCCTCAGGACCACAGACAACAGACTTTATCCTGTGTCTTCCATGACACATACATACATACACATGTACATGTGTCTGAGGATTTCAAAGCTGCCCAGTCTCCACATTTACTACCATGAGTGTCTATTTAATAGGTCCTCGTGACAAAACCTTTGTTACATCAGAGTGCAGGGAGAAAAGCAGACCCAGTCCTCATCATCTCTACTGTGCAGAGGGGTATAAGAAGTAGCATCCTCCCAGCACAGAGCTTTCCAGCACCTGGGAAGCCCTCTAATTGAGTGCCTGCCATGAGAAAGGAGCTGGAGAAAGCTGATCTTCCCTGCAAGTACCTGGTCATGTCTCCCTGGGTCCCTTCCCCAGGGCCCAGCCTTCTATTATCCCCATCTCACGTGGGGCTGAGTAGACTATACGAAAAGGGCCACAGCCACACTGGAGATGGGGAAATACATTCCCCATAGATTAATTTCAGAGGGCTGTGCTGGGGCCAGGGGAAAACAGACCCAGGAGAAGCCTTCTGATGGTCATTTTCTAGCACGGAGCCAGACAGTGGTAAGAGCCTACAGCCAGTAGCCCTTCCTCTGAGTGAGTAGGAAATGGAATTTCTGGGCTGGTGAAGCCTCTGGTGGTGCAAGAAAAGCTGCGGATGCTAAGCAGTTCCCCTCAGGTCCAGCCTGGCCAAAGACTAACATCGTTCCCTATCATCTATCTATCTATCCATCCATCCATCCATCCATCCCCAGTACTGTCAGAGCACATAATAGGGTATTTCTCATTTACTGTCCTGGAAACTAAGAGAAGAGAGATCTCAAGGGCACTTGTTCTCCACAGCAGGTCCTAGCTAACAACAGAGGGTATGGAGCTGATGGAGGTTGGCCAGGTCTTTCAGCTCCTACAAAAGGCCCCACTGGGAACAGATGTCTGGTTAGGGGTCAGAATGGGGATGGGGACATCTAAAAGTCTTAGTGGAAAGGAGAAAGGAGAAGACAAGGTGCAGCCCCTAGAGAAGACCTGGCATTTCCACAGAGATGGAGGCTCAGGAATGCTCTTCCTATGGCCCCAGACCCTGGGTTCAGAGCAGACTATCTTACAGGAAGGAAGGGAGAATTCTAGGATCCTTTATCTAATGTGTCTCCAGAATTAGGATTTCAGTTGGTTGATTGGTTGGTTGGTTGATTGGTTCTACCATATATTAACAGAAATATGTAAAATGATGATGTGAATAGCAAGTAACATCTCAGAGCCTGAGAGAAGTCACAAAAATCTGTTCAAACAAAATGAACAAGGGAACATTCACATGGGTGGCATTGGCAAGGGGCAGAGGCACCAGTCACCAGCAAATCCCCCATCCTACTCTGCCTCAGCCCAAGCTGAGGGAGCAGCCAGGATACCTCTCTGACTTTTTGTCCTGCCCCTGAAGGGCTGACCTGATGCCCCAGAGGTTGACTTAGCTCAGCTCCTTTTGTTGTTTCAGGAAGCAGCTGTGGGGAAAACAGTCTCATGGTGAAACCCCGTCTCTACTAAAAATACAAAAAATTAGCTGGGCATGGTGGCACGTGCCTGTAATCCCAGCTACTCAGGAGGCTGAGGCAGGAGAATTGCCTGAACCCAGGAGGCGGAGGTTGGAGTGAGCCGAGATCGCGCCATTGCACTCCAGCCTGGGTAACATGAGTGAAACTCCGTCTCAAAAAAAAAAAAAAAATAAAAATAAATATAGAATTGAATGCACAACAGAAAATTTATTTTATCATGGGAGGGGAGGGAAAGAAAGCAAGCAGAGGTAGGGGTAGGGTTTCACTATTTAAGGAAGAGCTGAATACAAAGACAATGAGTCTTTCATAGTCTCAACAACTCCACAATGAATAACTGTGAATTATCTCATTTATAATTTACATTGGATCAAAAAAATTGGTTCCCCTCTGTGTATATCAATTTAAATCAAACCTTATTATCTTCAAAATACAAAGATGAATACTACAAGATAAACTCTATCTGCAACAGGTATTTTCTTTTTTTTTTTTTTTTTGGAGACAGAGTTTCACTCATGTTACCCAGGCTGGAGTGCAATGGCGCGATCTCGGCTCACCACAACCTCCGCCTCCTGGGTTCAGGCAATTCTCCTGCCTCAGCCTCCTGAGCAGCTGGGATTACAGGCACGTGCCACCATGTCCAGCTAATTTTTTGTATTTTTAGTAGAGACGGGGTTTCACCATGTTGACCAGGATGGTCTCGATCTCTTGACCTCGTGATCCATCCGCCTCGGCCTCCCAAAGTGCTGGGATTACAGGCTTGAGCCACCGCACCCGGCCTGCAACAGGTATTTTCTAAGTGGAAGACCAAACACCAAAGGGAATCCCTCTTTCCAATGTCTTTTGATATGACATGATTTTACCAGAATGCCTAAATAAGCATTCTTATGGCCAAGTAAGAAACTATAGTTGTTGTGGGTATTACCCTACAATTACCATATGTATTACATATTAAATTAAACTCAGCATTAAATATGCTTGTATAATTATGCTGTTAATGATGATAGCAGTGATAATACTGGCAGAAAAAGCCTGTCTTTAGCCCAAGAAAAGTAAGGGAGAAAAACGTAGAAAGCAGACACAGAGCTGGGCATTTTTTGACAAGGAAAGAGAATTTTAAGCATAGAAATATAAAAGGAAAAGTATTCCCTTATTTCCCCTATGTGGAAATAATACGATACATTTATTAGATATACTAGACAAGAACAGACCTAAGTACTTCAACTCTACTGCAGCATTATAAAATAATCATCCCTTCACCACAGTGTAACATTTAAGGGCAACCCGCCCAAGGATGCATGTTATATAAAACACAGCAAGATTGCTGCTGCCCTGCCAAATACTTCCAGTTCCTACCCAGGTCCTACTGAAATACTGGTGGCCCCAATTAGTTTTACTGAAATAAATCTTTAAAGAAAAAGATAACGGGTTTAAAAAGACAAGTCAAAATGCTTCAGGAACCACATATCCAACAAAAACTTTATCCTCAAATCAGTTATGTTTGCCTCGCACTAATAAATTTTTATTTCACTCAAATTAGAGCAAAAATCTTCTATACATTAAGTATCTTCCCTGCACAACAATTCAAAGAAAAAAAATCAAAAATGATTAGTAAAGAAAAATGTAAGAATTAACAGACACTTTAAATTTGTTTTAAATATTTTTAAGGTTAAAACATATTTAAAGTTTGTAATTCCTAGTAGGAAAACATTATCTGAATGAATACCCTAATGGCAAACCACTGTAAAATGCTTCAGCTGCATTTAGGGGAGTGGAATAGGGATTATCTTCAAAGCACCCCAGCCCTCTTGATGAGAAGGTCAGAGGTACACTACTTTTATTATTGTGACATCCATAAGGTGATCTAGGTTTCTTTTCCTTCAGCAAAGGCTTTATTTATCAGAAGGGCATTACACTTGACCTCCAAATTTGGCTGACAATTTGCTGATAAGACTCATAACCTTTGGGTTGCTCTGTATTTTGACATATTTGCTGGGTTCTGAGGCACATCCTGGAAGGCCACCAAAACTTCTGGATCCTGCATTGCTGCAAGAACCTCTGGATCACTAAGAATTTCATTGAGTCCAGGCATTCTGGCCATTCCAGGCATGCCCCCTCCCATTCCAGGCATTCATCTGGGAAAACCACCAGGCATTTCCCCAGGAAAACCACCTGGAAAAGAGCCATACTGAGCTCCTGACTGTCATCTGGCTTCTTCCTCCCTCTGGGCTCACTCATGCTTTTCTCAAGCCTTCTTAACTTTCTGTTCTTTCTTTGATCTCTCGCTTTTCACGTTTTTGCTCATACTTTCTCTGATGTTCTGCGATTTTCTGTGCCCTAGGTTGAACTTCTTTCAGCATTGCACTCACAACTTCATCATAATCCAATTTACAGGCAAGGGCAAGATCATGGGCTGCTTCCTCCCAGTGGCCTACAAGTCTGTGTGCTTTCCCTTGCCACTTATAAGGCTGAGCTGAATCAGGATTTATTTCAATGGCTCTGTCACAGTCTCAGATGGCAGCGTTTGGCTTCCATAATTTGACGAAGACACTGGCCTTCTTGGCATACAAAATGGCCAAGCGAGGATTCAACCTGATGGCACCTGTGAATAAGTCAATGGCTTTCTGCAATTCATCATCTTTAGGGCTTCAATAGCAGCCACTTTCTTATCAGTTGCCTGTTCCATCATCACCTCTGTTATCTCTGCATTTTCATCTCCCATTTCTCGAGGGGCATCAGTGTCTGACTCAATCACACCTTCATTATCAATTTCTAGATCACTTTCCTCACTTGATGGTTCATCTGCCTTTAAGTCTTCCTCCACCTTCTTACTATCAGGTTTTTCTTCCTTGGTATTTTCTTCTGATTTAGCTTTCTGAGTAGCAGGTGGTATTTTAGCCCCCATACTCTCCACCCACTCCCTCAGGAAGCGCATTTCCTCAGTGTGCAGAACGCTTGGATGCCACTTACACATCTTCACAAAGGCGCAAACCTCGTTCACTTTGCAGGGGTCCATGGTAGGGAGGCGGTAGGCGAAGCTGAGGGTCTGCCGCCTGCTTCCAGGCTCAGGCGTTAGCTCAGTGTGACCGCGCAGAAGGGGGCAGGTGCCACGAGGCAGTTCCATGAACTTTTCAAAGACCCCTCTTAGATAAATCTGGGAGAGATTCAGTATTTAAAATCAACAGGGTTTCAGACATCCAAAACTAGGTGTGTAATAAGAAGTTGTTATAGGGATTAGGGACTCAGAGATCTGAGTTTCATATGTCTTCTGTAAAAGACTGGTAACTGAATTCAAGGCATAGATGCCTAGGGAAAAAGTGCAGAGTGGGAAGAGAAGGTCCTAGGACCCAGCTCTAAGGAATACCCATGTTTTGAGAACTTAGCAGAGGTAAAGCGAGCATCAGAGACTGAAAAAAGCTAAGAGAAACCCAGAAGAGAGCGTCTTTCACTGAGGCCAAACATTTTCAAAGAGAGGAAGAAATCAGCAGATGCCCAATGATACTGAAAGGTCAAGAAAACTAGCTGAAAACTAGGCATCAGATTTGGTGACACATGGGAAACTTTTGTTTCTGGAGAGTGAGGAAATGAATGATAAAGACACAAACCCCATGGGAGTGAAATAAGTAGAAAATGGAAAGCACACGTTTGGGAAGTTTGGCTATGAAGTCAAAAAAAAAAAATAGTAGCTGGAGGAAAAAAGGTCTGGAGAAGGGTTATTTTAATATGAGGAGAACTTTGGAATGTTTAAATGCTGTTAGGAGGCAGCGTGAAGAGGGAAAAGAAAAAACCGGCCTAGCGAAAAGAAATCCAGATTACCGGTGGAAGGGCTCTCTTGCATTACTAACCCGACAACTTAATAGACATCCAGAATTCTGCAGTCTGGGTAGCTTTGGGTTTTAGGTGAAGGGTTTTGTTGGTTTAGGTTTGCTTTGGTTGGCTTTTTACACTAAAGTCTTCCCTCCTGTGCCCTTTCCGGGTCCATTAATCCCTCCCACCGCGCGCCTCCCCGCCTCACTTGCCAGACAAGTTTTTCCGGGTTGCCGAGAAGGGCCAAGCACTAGAGGAAGACCTCGATGGGAACGCGCTTCCCAAAAAAGGCATGCGCAGAGAGGTCGCAGTCGCGTCCGAAGTGAGGTAAACTCTAAACCTTGCGCAGGCGCTTTAGGTCCTAGTCGCTATGCGTGTGCTTGTGGGTGAGAGAAGGCAGAAAGGGAGTGAGGGGCGGGATTAGTCCGATATTGAGGGTTGGGAAGCCGCTTCCGGGAGGGCACTGTGTCGTGCACAGACAACCTTGCCTTGGCCTCCTAGCCAGAAAAGCCGAATCTCCCTAATCCCTGTGACCTGTCAGCTCTGCAACGCGGGGAGGGGGAGAGGTGGGGAGAAGTCTAGTGTCAGATGGGATGGCGCCGGAATAGGGGGTCACAGCGGGGACGGAAGGCGCCGCCACCTGACTCCCCGGGAATATAAACAATTTGTGTTTTGCCGATCAGGTGGCGGGACAGGCTTCATTGGGACAGCCCTAACCAAGCTGCTGAATGCCAGGGGCCACGAAGTGACGTTCGTCTCCCGACAGCCTGGACCCGGCCGGATCTCGTGGGTACGCCCATCCTCTAGACGGGGGTGGCAAGGCAGAGTTGGTTGGCATAGGGCCGGGCAGGGGAACTGTGTGCTTTCTCCGACAGGATGAGCTCGCTACTTCCGGGCTGCCGAGCTGCGATGCCGCCGTCAACCTGGCCGGAGAGAACATCCTCAACCCTCTCCGAAGGTCAGCGGCCCTAAAGCTGATACCCACTAGAGCATAGGGAGGAGAGTGTCCGACTGATGAGAACCTCCATGGGTAATGCAACTGCCAGATCTGAACTAAACCTATTATCCCAGACTACTCATTCTGCTCTACTCCTCCACGCCCACCTGCTCCTCCACTCAGTCAGCCAGTTGGCTTGAGTCCTCACATACTCAGGATGCCC